ATAAATAAATATTTAAAAAAGGCCAACAGACAGATGAAAAAACTCCAGGATCACTGCCATCAAGGAAATGCAAATAAGAATTACAGTGTGTGTCCCCTCACCCCAGTCAGAATGGCCATCATACAAAATCAGTAATGGCAAATGCTGGGCATTATTACTCATACATATTCTGAAATAAGCATTAAAACTGTCACCTAGTTTTTCTATTGCTTTTCTAGTGAATCCACCATAGCCTATTTCTTTTTTTTTCTCATCTCCTCCTTTTTGAACTGAAGTGCTGTAGAGCTCAGTCTTTTATATTCTTTCTAATGACTTTTACAACCTTGTTTGTACTAATGGTTTCCAAATGTGCATCTCCAGCCCAGGAATCATTCCTTAATTTTAGATTGGCATATCACACTGCCTACTTGAGACCTCTCTTTGATTATCTATTGTGTACTTAAATTCCAACAGGTCCAAAATATTACTAATATTATTCTTTCTCAAACCTCCATTCTATGACCTATTGTTCATTCAGGAGAATGTTGTTCAATCTCCATGTGTTTGCGTATGCTCTAGGGATTCCTGGTCTGCTAATTTCCAACTTCACTCCTTTATGGTCTGAGAAGCTGCATGTTATGATTCTAATTCTTTTGAATTTGCCGAGACTTGCTTTATGGCCTAGTATGTGGTCAATCCTAGAGAAGCTTAAGGATCTCTATGATGAAAATTACAGAACCTTAAAGAAAGAAATAGAAGAGGATAGCAAAAAATGGAAAAATCTTCCATGCTCATGGATTGGAAGAATCAACATCATCAAAATGTCCATTCTCCCAAAAGCAATTTATAGATTCAATGCAATACCAATCAAGATACTGAAGACCTTCTTCTCAGATCTGGAAAAAATGATGCTGAAATTCATATGGAGACACAGGAGACTTTGAATAGCTAAAGCAATCTTGTACAACAAAAACAAAGCCGGAGGCATCGCAATACCAGATTTCAGGACATACTATAGGGCAGTTGTAATCAAAACAGCATGGTACTGGTACAGAAACAAATGGATAGAACAATGGAACAGAAAAGAAACACCAGAAATCAATCCAAACATCTACAGCCAACTCATATTTGATCAAGGATCCAAAACCAATCCCTGGAGTAAGGACAGTCTATTCAATAAATGTGCTGGGTAAATTGGATTTCCACATGCAGAATAATGAAGCAAGACCCCTACCTTTCACCTTACACAAACATTCACTCAACATGGATTAAAGACTTAAATCTATGACTTGACACCATCAAATTATTAGAGAGCATTGGAAAATACCCCAGAAGCACAGGCAGTCAAAGCCAAAATTAACATTTGAGATTGTATCAAATTGAGAAGTTTCTGTACTGCAAAAGAAACAGTCAGGAGAGTGAAGAGACAACCAACAGAATGGGAAAATATATTTGCAAATTATGCAGCTGATAAAGGGTTTAAAACCAGAATCTACAAGGAAATCAAGAAACTCCACAACATCAAAACAAAGAACCCATTTACGAGATGGGCCAAGGACTTCAATAGACATTTTTCAAAAGAGGAAATCCAAATGGCCAACAGGCACATGAAAAAATGTTCAAGATCACTAGCAATCAGGGAAATGCAAATCAAAACAACAATGAGGTTTCACCTCACCCCGGTGAGAATGGCTCACATTCAGAAATCTACGAACATCAGATGCTGGAGAGGATGTGGGGAAAAAGGAACACTAACCCACTGTTGGTGGGAATGCAAACTGGTTAAGCCACTAAGGAAGTCAGTCTGGAGATTCCTCAGAAACCTGAAGATAACACTACCATTCAACTCAGCGCCATCCCACTCCTTGGAATGTACCCAAAGGAAATTAAATTGGCAAACAAAAAAGCAGTCTGCACATTAATGTTTATTGCAGCTCAATTCACAATAGCTAAGACCTGGAACCAACCCAAATGCCCAGCAACAGTAGACTGGATAAAGAAATTATGGGACATGTACTCTATAGAATACTATACAGCAGTCAAAAACAGTGAAACCCTGTAATTTGCAACAAGATGGAGGAATCTGGAAAACATCATGCTGAGTGAATTAAGCCAGTCCAAAAGGGACAAATATCATATGTTCTCCCTGATCAGCGACAACTAACTGAGCACCAAAAAGGAAACCTGTTGAAGTGAAATGGACACTATGAGAAACAGTGACTTGATCAGCTCTTGTCCTGACTGTTGATATACACTGTAATACTTTATCCATTTTAGTATTTTTTTGTTCTAGTACCATTGGTTGAAGTCTGTAATTAACACACAATTATTCTTAGGTGTTTAAATTTTAACTGAAAAGTGATCCAAGTTAGGAATTTGGAAAACATTTTGCTGAGTGAAATAAGCCAATCCCAAAGGGACAAATACCACTTGTTCTCCCTCATAGGTGACAACTAACTAAGCACCAAAAAGGTAACCTGTTAAAGTGAAAAGAACACTATGAGAAACAGTGACTTGATCAGTCCTCACCCTGACTGTTGATGAGCAACTTAATCTGTTATCCCTCTTAGTATTTTTTTTGTTTGTTCTACTTAATACTTTTGGTTGAATACTGTAATCAATAGACAATTCTTCTTAAGAGCTGAAACTTAACTGAAAAGTGATCACTGTTAAATAGAAGAGTGGGAATAAGAGAGGGAAGAGATGTGCAATTTGGGACATGCTCAAGCTGTCTTACCTCAAATGGTAGAGTTAGAAACATACCAGGGGATTCCAATTCAATCCCATCAAGGTGGCATGTACCAATGCCATCTCACTAGTCCCACTGATCAATTTCTGTTCACAATTGATCATAAGGATAGGGCTAAGAACCAAAGGGATCACAGAAACAAGACTAGTGTCTGCAAATACTAGCGGATAGAATCAAAAAGGGAGAGAACGATCCACATGGGAAGCAAGATACACAGCAGACCCATAGAATGGCAGATGTCCTAAACAGCACTCTGGCCTTAGAGTGCCCTTAAGGCATGCAGATCTGGCTGAAAAGGCCATGAGAGTATTTCAGGCATGGAAAGCCAAGACACTCTGGGGGAAAAAAAAGACCTAAATGAAAAATCTCTGTCAGTGAGATCCCAGTGGAAAGAACGGGTCATCATCTAGCCCAAGGGGATTTGGGATCCCATGGTGAGTAAATCCAGCTGTGAAATTATGATTTAAGCTTTCATTTTGGCTATGTTGTTACACAGAATATGTTAGTCAGTCCTTTCATAAGATCTAAAAATCAAACTACATCTTGAGGAATCCCTCAGGACAGAGTCAGTGTCCCGTCTTAAAGAGAATAGAGAAATGTGGGAACAAGTCAGGCTTGCCAGAATACACACTGACAATGCCAAATGGAATCTTAGCAAGTGGTTTTAACCATTAAATAATAGCTTATAAAATATTTACTGGAAGGTCCAATGCCTTCTATAAATTTTAAGAATACATGTATTTAAATATACTTTAAATATCTAACAAGATGTGGCTTGTTTAAACAGCAAACAAAAACATAAAACATTTTTAGTTTCTTTCTATCATCAAATTTAAAACATCTGACAAAGAGATTCAGGTCACATGAATCAAATGAATTTTCAATTAATTTTAGCTATTAAATTTATAGCAATTTTTCCTTGATAAACCAATTAAGACAGAGCTCAAAATAAATTTTCCCATGTAGACATACAATATGAACACACACATAACACAACATACATATAGAACAATAAAGCAGTTTTAGTAATAGTTTTCTAAAATCTTTAGCTGTTTTTTTATTATCAACCAATTAAAATTACTTTCTGTTCTTGGTGAACTTGATTAACCATGCTTTCTTCCAGTTGGAACCTGTAGTGCATTATTGACTTCATCTGTTTACAGAACAATTCAAAACTACTGAATACAGAAGTGGCTGGGAAAAGTCCATCAGAACCTATAGGAGGGCGGCTAAACACAGAACCAACAATGTTTTAGTTTAATGAGCAGCAAATCTGATATACAAAACTGTGGATGAGAAAAGACTTTAGCCATGTTTCAAATGATGAACTCATTAACCAACAAGAGGTATTTGCTTACTTCACACAGTATTTTCAAAAGCACCTATAGGATTTTACAAAACATTTAATTCTTTTAGGCCTCTGCGCCTTTCTCATTAAGATAACCATCATGTCTAGTAACACGAGATCATTAGACTTTTTAACTTTCAGACATTTGTATCAGTGGCATTTTACATTATCAAAACTTAAAATTTAGCACGACTTCACATTTTAACAGTACCTGTAATACAACCCAAGATGCCTGATTGATTAGCTGGTGTCTCTTGAAGATGAGAGACATAGATCCTTTGACATTTCCAGGGACCCAACTGGAAATATCAAAGTCCAAATTCTTTGGAACTTCGATTTTTTTGAATGCCTGTCAAAGATGACAAGAAGGCTTAAAATATATGGCTTAACATCATGACAAAGTATAGACCAGATTTGATTAAATCATGACTCCTTTAAAACTCAGTTTTTTTTTTGCTGACTTTAAAATGTTTATTCTTTAAAAAATTAGTTGCTTTTTATACAGCTATACAAAGTTCTTAATGTTTCTTTGGCAATGGAATATAATGGAATTTTACAACTATATAAAAAAGTTACCTTTGCCTAAGAAACAGTATTTACTGTGTGTACATAGTTGACTGACAAAATTCTCTACCATCCAGCACCCTAATTAATTGATGAAATAGGCTACCTCATATTACAGGATTTCCAAAAAGAAAGAAAGAAAAAGAGAGAAAGATATAGACACACACACACCCACACACATACACACACACAACCTGCTGTGGCTCAAAACACAGTATCACGGCCCTATCTGCAGGCAACCTGCAATAATTGCCAAATACAATTTAGTGATAAGAAAAATCCTTTCAGTGATGAAAAAATACTTATAAGTCCCATTGAAGTACTGCTTTAGTTTAACTATACATAAGAAATTACTTAACCTTCTGCTATTCCAAATATATTTAATGCTCATTTTTTAAAGATGAGCCTTCCTCCCCCCAAAAGTAACTGCATTTTATCTTTGAAATGAAGCAGAAAAACAAACGAACAAAAACCCAGTGCTGGTGACAAATATACAGCAAATTCACTTCTTCATTCTTCGCAAAGACTGAAACCAATTTCCAGGACCATGAAGAGCTAGAAATTCACTTATTTTCAAAGACTGGTTTGTTGACTATGCAGCAACTTTGTTGTCTTTTCTATACTCAAAATCTGCAAACTCTCTGCCCCCACGACCTCCTCTGAATGCACCACGAAATCCTCGAGGAGTGGTAAAGGCACCACCTCTCCCGCTACCACACCCTCGGCCACCACGGAAACCAAGACCTCCTCTGCCTCTGTATCCCCCACGGCCACGGTTTGGACGGAGTGGGATTCCAAACGTTTCGGCATTTAATCTTCTTTCCTCAGCCCAGGTTGGTCTTCGTTCTCTGTTATCATCACAAGAAATATTGTCAAAGAAAGATTTAGTTTTGTCATAGTAGCAATTAGGTCCAAGCGGATCTTCTTCATCTGCATTTCCTTCACTGTTTTGTGTATCAACTCCTGAGTCTCCTTTATCTTCACCATTTACAGGTTTCTCCTGTTTCTCAAGTTTATCTTCTTTTAATTTAAATTTGTTATGAAACTCTCTGTGGATCTCTTCCTTGTTAAATTGTGCATTTGCACTTTCAAAGTCAAAGTCTTTCTCAAATTTCATTGGACCATCTCGCCAGATACCAAACCTTCCTCTGCCACCTCGATGACCTCCACGCCCTCTCCTTGGAGCTGAAGGAGCACCTGGAACTACTTGTCTCTTGTTATCATTTCTGAGTTGCTCATTTTCTGGTCTTGAAACTTTGTGTACTTCAGCTAGCCTGTGCTCTTGATTCTCTATTGCTTTTTGGCTGGTAGATGGCAAAGGCCTGCTTGATACAGGGCTCCTTCTCCCAACAGGTGCTGGAGCAGATAAGTGGGCCGAGGCGGTCTGTACTGCTTGTTCCATGGTTGGGCTTTTTCTCAAAGGATCTAACTGAGGGCTTGACCGACCTTGAGATAACTGCGTTTTTATAGCTCGTGTATCCTGTGTAAAGGCAGAACCAACTGCACTGCTTTGGGACAAAGTACCACTGTTTGATGTTTCAGTTCCAAATGATGTCAAGGAACTTCCAGCAACACCAACAGTACCAAACTGCTGCCCGACTAATGAACTTGGACTGAACTGACTATATGTCGGCATCCTGCCAAAAGGTCCGTAGGAACCCACTGACTGGAATGAAGAAGCAGATGAACCTAGTGAAGACTGCACGATAGCTGGGTCCTGAGGCAAAGAGCACTGTGGTTTCGGTGGCTCACAAACGGTGAGGTCTTTAATATCACTTCCACGGAATATGATGTATTCAAAGACTTCATCTCGAGGTGGTATTGGACAATCTGTTGGTCTGTCTTCTGTACCAAAGGATCGAACTTTGGCGAGGGCTACCGTGGAGTTCTCGGTGTCGATGGTGTAGAGGATGCCCTCGTAGCGGATCTCCGCTTTGGAGATGAGGCTGATCTTGCTGCCGATGTAAGGGGTGCCCCCGCTCATGGCGCCGCCGCGGCCGCCGCTCCGGGCCGCTCGCAGAGAGGCAGATCCCGCGCCGCTGTCGCCGCGCCGCACGCCCGCTAGCTCCGTCGGCGCCTACAGCAGCCGCCTCAGACCCAACATGGCGGCGCCACCGGCTCCGCTACCCTCCCCCAGCCTCCCGCCCTCAAGCCCCGGCGCGGCGGCGGCGGCGGCGGCGGCGGCGGCGGCGGCGGTGACAGCGGCGGCGGCGCGGGGCCAAAACTCAGTTGTTTTAAACAATTAGAACTTAAGAGGCATGAAGAGAACTAAATAGATTACTTTAAAATAACACAAAATCTGTCTCTTTGGTTGTTCAGAAGTCAGAAATAAAACTTTAAATTTAAGACCTGGTGCATTGAATCAAATCCCATAATTTGGAACAGTTTTAAGAGTCAGAACTAGGGAAGAAAGAATAGCACCTTCATGGGAGACCAGGAGGAAGTACCTGGCTCCTGGCTTCAGATCAGCACAGTGTGCTGGCTGCAGCACGCCAGCCATAGTGGCCATTTGGGGGGTGGACCAATGGAAGGAAGACCTTTCTCTCTCTCTCACTCTCTCAATGACTAACTCTGCCTGTCAAAAAAAAAAAAAAAAGAAAAGAAATCAACAAATGACAAAACTGATGAGGATGTGGACTATTTATTGAGGTGTAATAATAAATTTGAATAAACATGAAAAATAGAGAAATGTATTCATTTCAATATATGTTGTATATTGACAGTTGTGTGTACAAATGGTAAATTTAGTAGAAGCAGGAATAAGGTTACAGGGAGATGTAACAGATATTAAAAAAAATAGCCCTAAATACACATTTAAATACAGAAAATTTGCACTCTCTTACATCAAAGAAAGCTTATGTCTTTGAATTCAGTAATTTTAAAACAGAGATAAAATTGTCTTGATCTAATGCATGGAAATTTTAAAGAGAATGACAATTTTGATTCTCTAAATATAAAGAAGCTATAAAAAAGTGTCCATGAAAGTGTAAAAGAATGTAATGTTCTAAAATTATTTGATAGGCCATAAAGATGGAGGTTGCTAAGACAACTTGAACATTCTTTAGTGCATTCATAACATGAAAATGTAAGTGCCCCAAAGAATCAGCATACCTTGGCAGCGCTAAGATTGGTTTCCATGTGGATATTGACATACTCAGATGAAATTAATAAAATGAAAGACAAAATAAAAAATAGAAACCTGATACACATGGAAGTTAAAACTTTGCCTTGCCCTTAGTAACAATGTGTATTTTAATGTGAGCCATAATTAAAAAACAAATATGTGGATGACTATTTGGAGAAAAAACAGTCCGGAATAAACTGGAAAAATTACAGTATGATACAGACTTATCGTTTGAAAAGTTTCCACAATCAGAAAATAATTTAAAGTTCCAGGAGCGTCTAGAAACATTAAGAATGTATCCTATGCTGATGACCATGATGGTGCTGGCACTGCGATGTACTCAAATCCTATACACATGACAGTTGCTGGGACAACTTCCAGCATTTAGAGTGAGTTGATGACCACACAATTAGAAACCAAACCATGGTACCCATCATTTCCCTGTGTTAGGAATGTCACAAATTGGGTTATTCACTACACATGCAGGTGACAGTAGCAAATGACAACATAAATATGCATTCCAGGGAAGGCATTTAATTTTGATTATATAGTGTATAAATTAGTAATTTGGCAGAAACAGAGGCATAATCATATACAGATGGGCTAATAATTGGATGGTGGAGTAGGGAGGGCACTTACTGCTCTAGCCCAGGAGAAGATAGTTTTAAAAAAGTGTAAATAGAGTAGTCTCAGGGAAGAGTTAGGGAAAAAATGACAGAGGAAATTCTACTGACATTAGAGGGACATGGTAGAGGTGGACACCTGGAGGGCATGGTGCCCACAGCTCACACCTCCTACAGCTGAGAGCCTATGCACCAGAACTGTAAAGTGAGGTGAGTGAGACAAGACCACAGTAGCCCGAGCCACCAGCAAAAATGGGGCAGGAACCTAGAGGGAATGAGGCTTAAGTCTCTGAGGGAAAGTGTGTCAGCCAAAATAGAGGAGAGAAACAAAAGGGGACAGTACAGACACCTTTCTTTCTCTCCAATCACCTCACAAAGGCATGCAAGCTGATAGAGCAGGAGCCATTTTGAACATACATAACAGCTGTGCCAGCTTGTGTCTGCACCAGGTAAGCAGCCGACTCCTGACTCTGGTGGGGAGAAATAACAGGAAACTAGGAACTTATAACTGTGTGAAGCTTCTGAAGCAGGACTGAGAAAAAATAAAAAACTGAGTGTGTGTGGGAAGACTTTCAGTGTGGCTGGGACTTTGAGCACTCTCAGTGGGAGATGCCACAAGCTTGGGGGTTCTTGGTTACCTGATGAGAGACATTTCTGGAGAATCTGAACTTATACTGAGGACTACACAGATCCTTTGTGTGGTTCTTTGGACAGAGCAGACAAATATTATACCTACTGGGGCTAGTACTCAAGCACTGGTCTCCATTGAGGAGAAGAGCCCAACTGAGCAGAATATACTTCCCTTCTGATTAAAAAAAGGAGAGAGAAGACTTAACATGCCAAACTTGGGTGTGTCACCTGAGGCACATCCTTAACCCTGGAGACTGAACAGAGCTCTCTGGCCACACCCACTACAAGCCTCCAGAGATTCAGTGAAAGCAGAAAGTCCACTTATCTACTGAGTCATAATACAAAGATAAAATCCACCACAGTGAAAAAAAAAAGAAGTCTTGCTGGTCTGGACAAGTGGTGGCAAATTCGTTCAATTTCTGTTTGTTATGAAAGGTCTTTATTTCACCTTCATTCATAAATGAGAGCTTTGCAGGGTGTAATAATCTTGGATGACAGCTTTTTTCTCTTAGGAATTGGGCTAGATTTTGCCATTTTCTCTTAGCCTGCAGGGTTTCTGATGAGAAGTCTGCTGTGAGTCTAATTGGAGATCCTCTGAAAGTAATGTGGTGTTTCTCTCTTACCCATTTTGGAATCTTCTTTTTGTTTCACTGCAGCAGTTTGATTACAATGTGTCATGGCAAGGATGTTTTCTGGTCATGTCTATTCAAAGTTCTGTGTGCTTCCTGTACTTGGATGTCTCTTTTTCCAAACCCGGAAAGTTTTCTGCTAGTGTTTCACTAAAAATGCCTTCTAATTCTTTCTCTCTCTTCATGCCTGCAGGAACTCCTAGAACCAGAATATTGGTTTTATTTCTTTATAGTATCCTGTAGATTCCCAACAGTTTTTAGATTTCTAATCTCCTATTCTTGTGTTTGGTTTGACTGTACACTTTCCTGTGCTCTGTCTACTAAGTCTGATGTTCTCTCTTCTGCCTCACTGATTCTATTGTTAAGGCTCTCCACTGCACTTTTTATTTGTTCTGTTGAAATCTTCATCTTGATTCCTCCTGATAATTTCAATTTCATGGGAGAGATTTTTTTTCATGTCCTTCTTCATGGATTTCAGTAGTTGGTGCATTTGCTTTCGATTACTTCTATGTAATTTTATGACCAAATTTTTGAATTCTATTTCTTCTATCTCATTGTCTTCATGATCTAGTATTGAAGTGTCATGTTCTTTTGGGAGCATGATGATGTTTTCCTTATTCTTGCTTCTTGGATTCTTGCATTTGTTTGGCATTTGTGCAGATACTCATCTTTTTTTTTTTCTGCTGTGGCGGTTTTTATCATTGTATTATGACTGTAGATTAATGGACTTTCTGCTTTCAGTGAATCTCTAGAGGCTTGTAGTGGGTGTGGCCAGAGAGCTCTGTTCAGTTTTCAAGGGTAAAGGGTATGCCTAAGGTGACACACCCAGATTTGGCATGGTAAATCTATTTTTTTTAATCAGAAGGGAGTTATATCCTGTTCAGCTGAGTTCTTCTCTTCAATGGAGACCAGTGCCTGAGTACAAAATCAAGTGGGTATAATATTCACTCTGTCCCAAGGACCACATAAGAATCTGTGCTCTCCATGTGGGACCTCTGTCCTTAGTGAGAATTAACAGTAATCTAGTCTTCAAACACCTGTTTAGCTGGGAGCCTAGGGAAAAAGTTCTCAGGCAAGCAATATTGTGAAAAATTAGTTCTAAGTAATATGAAAGATAACCCAGATAGCCATGCAACCTAGGAAAAGTGTTCCTCCTGGGGGTATCCTGGGAATTAACTGAATGTAAATGAGATTTATATAAATCCAGAAAGGACTATGTAAATTGCAAGGGATAAAAACACACATTTTCAATAAAAATGAGGGCCACCTGCAGGAGCAGGGAATAATATAAAAAAAGTTAAAAAAATGATTAGTTAAATTAATACAAAGGTGTACTACAGGGACCAGCACTGTGTCACAGAAGATTAATGCCCTGACCTGAAGTGCCGGCATCCCATATGGGTGCTGGTTCGAGACCCAGCTGCTCCACTTCCAATCTAGCTCTCTGCTATGACCTGGGAAATAGTAGAAGAAGGCCCAAGTGCTTGGGCCCCTGCATCTACATGGGAGATCTGGAGGAAGTTCCTGGCCTTGGATCAGCACAGTTCTGACCATTGTGGCCAATTGGGGAGTGAACCATTGCGTGGAAGATTCTCTCTGCCTCTGCTCTTTCTGTGTAACTATGACTTTCAAATAAATAAATAAATCTTTTTTTTTAAAAAAAAAGTACACTACATTTATGCTTCTGCTTCTCTGTTGAAATGGTTACCACCTGGATAGACTTCATCCCATGTCTTCTCTCAAGGCAATTAGGAATAGAATGAAGAAGTGTAGAAAAGGGGGATCATGGGTGAAAAAGGCACTATGCACTCAGTAATACAGGAAAATTCAGATGAGTGTTGCAACTTATAGGGTTTGAGGTTGTCCCATTAAAGAATGAGGGTGATGTGTGCGACAACATCTACTTGCATATTCAAATAGACCTTGGGTAGTGGAGTCTAATCCAGATGTGTGCACAGATAAGTTGAAATTTCTCATGGTATATAGGTCACCACAAACTAATTGCCTTGTGCTGCACACAACACTTATTATCCAGGCCTAGGGTACAGTATTATGGCTGGAACACATGTACTTGATATGCCTATGGTCACATCACTGGTTTGCACTACAATAATGTGGGGAAAGAATCCTGGGTGGCCCACAAATCAGCAATAAAACAAATAACTTTGTAATTGATGAAGATGGTATTCCAAATAACTGTTGAAATAACTGTTACTCAACTTTAAATTTTTATTAACAAAATTTACACAAGAGCCCAATTCAGTTCATATACTTGATCACAATAATAAGAAACCAAAAGTGCAGCTTGTATAAGAGAAAAAATTTCTGAAAAAATGCTTAACTGCTCTGTCACAATTCATCATGAAAACTGCCCAATACTTACTAAGGTGTGATTCTACCAAAGAATTCTTCCAAACAAATTATATTTCAGGGGCTTTCTGTAATCTTGCTATGTTTTGTGGAAGTTTGCCTAATAATAAAGGTATTTCCCATTACAGTACAGTCATAGGATTTTTTCTTTCTATGAGTTGTCAGGTAACCATTGAGAGGTGACATATGGTACATGACTTTTGTATGCATGTATGTTTTCTCATTTCTGAGTCTCTTCATGTGAATTGATTAATGGCAGAAGAATTTTTTCACATTCATTCAATTGACATTTTACTGTTTGAATTCTCTGGTGTTTGTTGATGTTTAATTTCTTGTTTTTTAAGATTTTTATTTATTTATTTGACAGGTAGAGTTACAGACAGTGAGAGAGACAGAGAGAAAGGTCTTCCTTCCGTTGGTTCACTCCTCAAATGGCCACAATGGCCAGAGCTGCACTGATCTGAAGCCAGGAACCAGGTGCTTCTTCCTGGTCTCCCATGTGGGTGCAGAGGCTCAAGCACTTGGGCTGTCTTCTACTGCTTTCCCAGGCCACAGTAGAGAGCTGCATTGGAAGAGTGGCAGCTGGGACCAGAACTGACACCCATATGGGATGCCAGCATAACAGGTGGAGGATTAACCTACTGCTCCATGGCCCCAGCCTGATGTTTAATTTCGGGTTATGTTTTTTTCAGATCTACTGCACTTGAAGGATATCACCTTTTTTGAGCTGCATATTTATGCAAGCCTGAATTCCATGAAAATATACTTCCACATTCATTACATTCCTAAGAAACCCCTTGTGTGAATTCTCTGATGTATAATGATTGATTTCTGACAAATGTCTTTTTGTCACACTAATAATATTTTTGAACTTCATTTTTTAAAATTATTTATTTATTTGAAAGACAGAGTTACAGAGAGAAAGAGAAGCAGAAAGAGGTCTTCCATCCACTGGTTCACTCCCCACATGGATGCAATGGTTGGAGCTGCAGCGATCCAAAGCCAGGAGTCAGGAGTTTCTTCTGAGTCTACCACGTAGGTACAGGGCCATCTTCTACTGCTTTCCCAGGCCATAGCAGAGAGCTCGATCAGAAGAGGAGCAGCCAGGACTAGAACCAGTGCCCACATGGTGTGCCAGCACTTCAGGCCAGGGCTTTAACCTACTGTGCCACAGCACTGGTCCCAACCTTTCTTCCTTACGGGAGTGCCTATTGTATGGGATGTAATTTCCAGCAATAGGCTCTGTCACATAGTTATGTTGATTTTGGAAAAAGTCCTTCACATTCATTATATTCTTAAGTTCTCTCCCTTGTGTGAACTACATGTGTTATGAGGTATTCCTTTTGACAAAAGGCTTTCCCACATTTATTACAAGATTTCCACCATGTAATCAATTCTCTGATGTTATAATGCGTGATTTTGGCAGAGTGTTACAACACTCATTCCATTCATAAGGTTTCTCCCCCATGCAAATTCTGATGTTTCATGAGGTGTTACTTATGGATAAAGACTTTTCCATATGCATTATATCCAAAGTGTTTTCCCCCATATGAATTTGATGATGTGCAATGAGGGCTGAATTATGGGAAAAAGCTTTCCAAGTCATTATGTTTAAAAGGTTTCTCTTCATGTGAATTTTCTGATGCATTCAGAGATGTGACTTATTGCCAAGGGCTTTTCTACAGTCATTGCATTCATGAAGTTTCTCCCCGGTGTGAATTCTCTGGTGTGATATGAGCTATGCTTTATAACATATGATTTATAAAGGCATTTCCAAACTCATTAGATTCATAAGGTTTCTGCCCTGTGTGAATTGTGTATGATATGAGGTATAATTTATAGGAAAAGACTTTTCTGCATTTATAAGGTTATTTCCCGGTGTGAATTCTCTGATGCATTTGGAATTGGAACTTAAAATCAAAAGTTTTTCCACAGTCATTACACTCATGAAGTTTCAATACTGTGTGCATTCTCTGGGGCATTATGAGGTTTGACTTTTGTCCAAAGGCTTTTCAGTCATTACATTCATGAGGTTTCTGCCCCATGTGAATTCTCTGATACACGATGAAGGTTGACTTATGGCTAAATGCTTTCCACACTTACTACAATCACAAGTTTTCTACCCTGTGTGAATTCTCTGCTGTGATATGAGCTTTGCCTTTTGTCCAAAGGCTTTTCCAAAGTCATTACATTCATGAGGTTTCTCCCCTGTGTGAATTCTCTGATGATTCCAAAGGATTGATTTTATCCAGAGGCTTTCCCTCAGTCATTACATTCATGGGGTTTCTCCCCTGTGTGAATTCTCCAGTGTGATCTGAGGTGTGACTTTCATACAAAGGCTTTTCCACAGTCATTACATTTATGAGGCTTCTGCCCTTTGTGAATTCTCTGGTGTATGATGAGGTGTGACTTTTGTCCAATGGCTTTTCCAGTTATTACATTCATGAGGTTTCTGCCCCATGTGAATTCTCTGGTGTAATATGAGGCAGGACTTGTGTCCAAAGGCTTTTCCACAGTCATTACACTAAAATGGTTTATCTTCTGTGTGATTTCTCTGGTGTACAATGAGGTCTGACTTTCTTCCAAAGGCTTTTCCACAGTCATTACATTTATGAGGTTTCTCCCCAGTGTGAATTCGCTGATGTAGGATGAAGGCTGACTTTCTTGCAAAGCCTTTTCCACAGTCATTACATTCATGAGGTTTCTGACCTGTGTGAATTCTCTGGTGTACGATGAGCTGTGACTTTTGTATAAAGGCTTTTCCACAGTCATTGCATTTATGAGGTTTCTCTCCTGTGTGAATTCTCTGGTGTAATATGAGGTATGACTTTTTTCCAAAGGCTTTTCCACAGTCATTGCATTTATGAGGTTTCTCCCCTGTGTGAATTCTCTGATGTATGAAGAGGTGTGACTTTCGTCCAAAGTTTTTTCCACAGTCATTACATTTATGAGGTTTCTCCCCTGTGTGAATTTTCTGATGTTTCCTGAGGTCTGACTTTTGTCCAAAGGCTTTTCCACAGTCATTACATTTATGAGGTTTCTGCCCTGTGTGAATTCTCTGGTGTACAATGAGGTGTGACTTTTGTATAAAGGCTTTTCCACAGTCATTACATTTATGAGGTTTCTCCCCTGTGTGAATTCTCTGGTGTAATATGAGGTCTGACTTTCTTGTAAAGGCTTTTCCACAGTCGTTACATTCATGAGGTTTCTCCCCTGTGTGAATTCTCTGATGTATGAAGAGGTGTGACTTTTGTCCAAAGTTTTTTCCACAGTCATTACATTTATGAGGTTTCTCCCCTGTGTGAATTTGCTGATGTTTCCTGAGGTCTGACTTTTGTCCAAAGGCTTTTCCACAGTCATTACATTCATAAGGTGAATTAAAACTGAGTGATTTTCCAGAAGGTTTACATTTATAGAGTTTTTCCCTTGTATTTAGTATCTGATTCATTGCAAGATGTGACTGGTGAATGACAGGTTCAACATACCTAATGTACCTATAAAATTTCTTTCTTGTGTGACTTTGTTGATGCATACTGAGGCTATAATTTTCATGGATAGCTTTTTCTATTTGAGTTGCTTTTCCAAAAGTGACGGTTGATTTATCGCAGTTTTCTGCCATATGAACCCTCTCAGATTTACAGAACATCTTTCTTGTGAAGACTTTTGCTTGTCCAATGGGTCCAAATGGCTGCTTCGTGATGTGGATATTGTCATGCTGACCAAGAGGCTCACAGAACTGGAGACAATTTCCAGGTATCTTAGTGTTATCAAATTTCTCTCCAACCTGTAGTTGTTCAGGCCCACTGGGGCAATACACAGTGTGACATTTATTGCATTTCTCAGGATTCAATCCTGAATAGGTTCCCTTTTCAATAATCAGTGTTGGAATATGGCTTGAATTTAAACTAGGAGTTTTTCTTAATTCAACTCTCTTGAGAGCTGATGTCTTGTTATTTTCCATAAAATCCTGATTCAAATTTTTATCCTGATTTTCCTGGTTGATCCTAATCAGGTCATCCCTTTTCATGACCACTGAAATGAGAAAAAAGCAGAGATGTCACTGAATCACACGTAACTGTTTCTCCTGGCATACTCATGTAAAGGGAATTAAGTTACTTGTTATCCAAGTGGCATAAGATTTTCACAAAATCAGTATGAGGTACTTATTTATGACCATTATATGGTTTTTCTCCTTAATACATTAATATACCATGAGGTTTCCCATGATCCTGTTTACTATGGGAATTTGTCAAGGATGGTAGAATGACATTTGTGCTATGATGCGTGGGATGCCTGCTTCTCAAAACAGTGTCAGTTTGAGCCCTGACTACTCTGCTTTCAGTACAGCTCTCTGCCTGTGTAAACTGGAAGGAAGCAGATAATTGTTCATGTGCCTGGGAACCTGTGAGACACCAGGGAAGACTAAATGAATTCTAGAGTTTCAGCTTCAGACTAGTTAGACCTAAATGTTGCAGGCATCTGGGAAGTGAGCTCCTAGAAGACCTCTTTTTCTCTCTTTCTTCTCTATCACTCTGCAATTTTTCATCACTATCACTCTGCCATATTTCATCACAAAGATGAAATAACTATAATATATTTTAAAGAATGGACAAATATTTAATAAAATATTCACCCACTACCTAGCAACCATTTTTCCCTGTGCTTTTTCTCCAGTTTATTTTTATAAAAATTGTGTGTTTTTTGCTTCTCTGATATTTCAACCATGAATATAAAGAAGTTTTACTGATCATTTACTTGCAGGTGGAGAAGAGTGAAATGTGCCTGTACTTTAAGCAGGACAACATTGAAGGAGTATGATTTGAATCTATGATTGTCTCATATTCAGTCTTCCTAGGTAAACATCAGTGAAAGAGAGAAAGGTCTTCTTTTGCCGCTGGTTCACCCTCCAATGGCCACCATGGCCGGCGCACCACGCTGATCCGATGGCAAGAGCCAGGTACTTATCCTGGTCTCCCATGGGGTGCAGGGCCCAAGCACTTGGGCCATCCTCCACTGCACTCCTGGGCCACATCAGAGAGCTGGCCTGGAAGAGGGGCAACCAGGACAGAATCTGGCACCCTGACCAGTACTAGAACTCGGTGTGCCAGCGCCACAAGGCGGAGGATTAGCCTAGTGAGCCACGGTGCCGGCTATTTGCTTATTTTTCAATGATACTGAAAAATAAGAGAGAAATCATACTTCAAACTTCACCATTAAAGAAATCTGAGCCACTCAACATCAACCCACAAGGCTACTCAACCTTGGATCTCAAAATCTCATTACTTTCATGGTGAGTCTAGGATCACTTATTTTCATGTTTTATATAAGTTCATGCTTAGTTTTTTATTTCTTTTTTTTCAAAGATTTACTTTATTTATTTGAAAACTAGAATTATAGAGAGAGATAGAGACAGAGAGAAGTCTTCCATCTGGTGGTTACTCCCCATATGGGCACAACAAGCAATGCTGGGCCAAGATGAAGTTAGGAGCCAGGAGTTTCTTTCTTGTCTCCCAAAGGGGTACAGGGTGCCAAGGACTTGGGCCAACCTCTGCTCCTTTCTCAGGTGCATTAGCAGAGAGCTGGATTAGAAGAGGACCAGCTGGGATTTGAACTGGCACCCATATGCAATGCTAGTGCTGCAGGCTGGAGCTTTAACACACTGCACCACATTGTCATTCCTAGCTTCATAATTTCTGATGTCACATCACAGAGGCTTACTCATGACCATCTTTTTTTTAAGTTTTATTTATTTATTTGAAAGTCAGAGTTAAACAGAGAGAGGAGAGGCAGAGAGAGAGTAAGGTCTTCCATCTGCTGGTTCAGTCCCCAATTGGCTGCAATGGCTGGAACTGCACCAATCTGAAGCCAGGAACCAGGAGCTACTTCTAGGTCTCCCTTGGGTGCAGGGGTCCAAGGACTCAGGACATCTTCTACTGCTTTCCAAGGCCATAGCTGAGAGCTGGATCGGAAGTGGAGCAACTGGGTCTCAAACTGGTGCCCATATGGATGCTGGCACTTCAGGCTAGGATGTCAATTCACTGCTGCACAGCACCAGCCACATGAACATCTTTTAGTATTTACTTATTTACTTACTTGAGAGTCAGAGAGACAGAATGAGAGATAAAGACAGGCTGAAACAGAGGTTTGCCAGATATAGGCTCACTCTTCAGATGTTTCCAACAGACTATAATTTTCTTATTTATTTGAGAGGCACAGACAAAAAAAAAGAAAGAAACTAAGAAAGAGAGAGTTCACATTTATTGATTCAGTCCTGAGAAAGTCCTATGCCTGGGCAAAAATCATGAGTGAGAACTCAATCTGAGCAATGAGTTAGAATAAGTTTCCAGGAGCTGGGATTGGGGCATAGCAAGTAAAGCCACCACCTGCAGTGCCAACATCACTTATGGGCACCAATTTAAGTCCTGGCTGCTCCACTTCTGATCCAGCACTCTGCTATGGCCTGGGAAAGCAGTAGAAAATGGCTCAAGTCCTTGGAGCCCTGTACCCATGTGGGAGACCAGGAAGAAGCTCCTGGCTCCTGGCTTCAGATCAGTGCTTCTCCAGCCATGACAGCCAATTGAGAAGTGAACCAGCAGATGGAAAACCTCTCTCTCTCTCTCTCTCTCTCTCTTTCTATCTGCCTCTCCTTCTCTCTCTGACTTTCAAATAAATAAATTAATAAATAAATCTTTAAAATAACAGAAACATTAATCTTAAAAAAATAAGTTTCTGTATGTTGCCTAATTGACAAGCACTGAAGGAACTAATAAGTGCATGAAGGAAAAGGTATGAAAGTATAGAGAAGGACAGTTAGAATTGGTGGAATGTATCAAACCTAGATAAAAGCCTTAATAACATCAGAAAATGACTGGATTTTTTTTAATCAAAGAGCATCTTCACTAAGAACAAAAGTTAGAAAGATACTGGTATCTCTAAATGCCTGTGTCTGATGCACAAAGCCAACTGTCATCAGGAGTAAGGCTTGAGAAAAATTCATGGAAAGAACACCAGTCAACATCTGCACACTTTCTGTCTTGGCCTCCCTGTCCCTGATGTGCAGACTGACCTGGAAGGCTCCGATTCAAGCATTCATCCACCATCCATGGCTCTGCTCCTCGCTCCAACTTGAAGATCAAGTCAGGTTTGGTAGTGCAGTACCCTATTAATGGAAACAATATAAGACTATGAAATCACTATCTTGGGTTATTTAAAGGACTACAGCTTGGTCCAGCAGCTATATAACAAATGTTCAAATTTGAATCTTTTGTAAGATGGTAGATATTCAGATTATTCATGGACTCAAATTCTATACCTGCCCAATATCAAACTTCATAAAGTGTTCCCTTATTTGTCAAATAGCAATAAAATGTTATCGCTGGGCATGTGATGGGTGTCACTCACCCAAGGAGAACAGACTGCTGTAGGTCTCCAGCATCACATCTCGGTACAGGATTTTCTGAGCATTGTTCATTTTCTTCCATTCCTCCCACATAAAGTACACAGCAAGGTCTTCAAATGCTATCATCTCCTATGATATTACACTTCCAGTCAACATATTGACTCTGCACAAAATAAACACTGACAGTTGTGTGGATATGAAGGAAAAAAGGAAGGATATGGTTTCACATTAGACTTATTGAGTGTTTAGAAAGCCACACAGAGCATTCAACAGAGTCAAACCCATGATCTACAGGCTGTGAGAAATGCCCAAGCTGCAGGAAAATAGGAGGTTCAAATCACAAAGGCCACATCTGTCAAGGGGAATTGCACAGCTGGCTAAAAAAGGGGCAATATTGACTCTTGAATGGGCAATGTGAAGAAGTATGTAGAAGCATTGAGAAAAAAAGGCAAGAAACATCAGTGAAACTATGATGGGATTGAACAGAAAATAATTTCCAGGAAAACACCATGCATATCATTTGCAGTATGTCAGAGAAAAATAATAATAAAGACAGGGCAGACATTTAGCTTATTGTTTATGATGCCACTTCAGAGTGTCTATGTTTGATTTCCAATGTCAGCTCTAGTCTTTAGCTCCCAGATAATTCAGACCTGGGGAAACAGCGGTGATGTCACCAATGAAGGAGGCCTAGATTCCACTCTTCAATCCTGGCTTCAGTCCTGCCCCAACTCTGTTTGCTATGGTTATCTAGGAAGTGAATTAATGTGTCAAAGCTCTCTATCTCTCAGTCCATCAACTTTTTTCTCTATCAGGCTAAAAATATTTTTAAGTAAGAGAAAATACAGGTCAAAGAATACAAATTAGCTTTTGCCCTTGTCTATGATTATTCTAATGATAAACAATTGAAATAATATTATACCTAATTAAAGTGAAAGCAATGGAAATACTTGCCCAAAACATTCAAATGGTAAACATTTGAAATAACATTATACATAATGAAAGTGAAAACAATGGAATTATTTGTCCAAAAAGAGAACCTGGGAATGTCTGTAGTACAATCTGCATTTGTGACTCACTGAGAAAAATGCTTAGAGATTTGTTTAAGAACCTGCAATAGTCACCAGAATTGTGATCCAGCAGGCTAAGCCTCCACCATCAATGCTGGCATCCCATGTAAACAGAGGATTTGATTCCTGGCTGCTCCACTTCCAATCCAGTTCCCTGCTAATCTGACTGAAAGAGCAGTGAAAATGGCCTGAGTATTTGAACCCTTCCATCAAATTGGGAGACCCATGGAGTTTCAGGCTCCTGACTTTGGCCTGGCCCCAGTCTCAGCCATTATGGGCATTTGGGGAATGAAACAGTAGATAGAAGATATCTCCTTTTGTCTCCCTGTCTCTCCCAATCTCTGTAAGTTTGCCTTTCAAATAAATAATCTTAAAAAATAAATGAGCCAAGATGGCGGAATAGTGAGGGCGCACACCAGTTGTCCGGGAAAAGATAGTTTAATAAAAGTGGAGTTACTGTAGCCTCAGGAAAAGGCTCAGGAAAAAATTGCAGAGGAAACTCTTCCAGATCTAATGGATGTGACATGGAGGACCTACGGGGAGAGCAAGGTCACCCACCGCATGGAAGCCAAGCTGCGGAAGCCAAGCCACAGAGTCTGCGCACCAGTGCTGGAAGTGGAGGTGACACAAAAACCTTGGTAACCTGAGACATTGGCAGGGAAAGGCAGAAAGAGCCTACAGAGAATGAGGCCTGCAGCCTCATGGGGGAAAGTTCACCAGGCTGACTGGAGGAGAAAAAAAATGAATAAATAATGGGAACCGGCAGAGACATTAGCCTCTCTCTCCACTCACCTTATGAAGCCAAGCAAGACAAAGAGCAGGTGCCATTTTGCGTATGTAAAGCAGTGTGCACCATTTTGCCTATGTAAAGCGGCGCCTGTCATTAGCCAAGCAGAAAAACCTGACTTTGGTGGGGAGAAATAACAGGACGTTAAGACCTAGTGAAAGTGTGGAGCTAACGATCTGAGACTGAAAATCTGAGGGTGGGCAAGAGAACTCACCGAGTACACAAACTCAGTAACCTGGGCAACCTGGTGAAAGATTGTGGAGAAATTTGAGAGCACACTGAGGGCTGCATAAACTCTTTGTGTGGTCCCAGGGGTAAGCAGACGAATACCCACAGGGGCCAGATTTCATATATCAACTACCCTCAATTCTACTCAGCTGTGTGGAATTACTTCCCAACTGAGTCAAAAAAGAGAGAGAGAGAGCAAAAGAACAATCTGGGTGAGTCAACTTTGGCACACGCTTAACCCTGAAGAACCAAACAGAGCTCTCTGGCCACACCCATCACAGCCTCTAAGGATCCATCAAAAGCAGACAGTCCACTTAATCTAGAGTCACAGTATAATGAGAAAAAACACCACACCAAAGAAACCAAAGAATATCTCCAATATGCCAAACAACAAACGCAGAAACAGAGGTAACAAGAACAAGGAAGACACTGTGATGCCCCCAAATGAAATAGACATCCCAATTCAAGATTATGAAGATAATGAGATAGAAGAAATGCAAGAAGCAGATCTCAAAAAAATGGATAAGAACATTAAGAAGTTCTCAAAAACAAATTCTTGAACTACAGAAATCCTTAATGGACAAGATAGAAAATCTCTCTCGCAAAAATGAAATATTAAAGGAGGAATCAAAACGAAATGAAACAACTAGTAGAACATGAAACTGTGATAGTGATGAGAAATCATAATGAAATTAAGAATTCAATAGATCAAATGACAAACACATTCGAGTGCCTTAAACACAGAATGGGTGAAGCAGAAGAAAGAATATCGGACTGAGAAGACAGAGAACAGGAAAGGATACAGTCAAACCAAAGAAAAGGAGAGGAAATTAGAAATCTAAAAAATACTGTCAGGAATCTACAGGATACTATTTAAAAAACCAACATTCAGGTTCTAGGAGTTCCTAAAGGCATGGAGAGGGAGAAAGGATTAGAATGCCTTTTTAGTGAGACAACATAAACTTTAACACAAAAACTATTAGGAGAGACAAAGAGGGGCACTATATAATGATTAAGGGATCAATTCAACAAGAAGATATAATGATTATCAATGAATATGCACCTAATTACAGGGCACCAGTTTATTGAAAAGATTTGTTAAGGGACTTAAAGGGAGACTTAGATTCCAATACAATAGTACTGGGGGACTTCAATACTCCACTCTCAGAAATAGATAGATCATACAGACAGAAGATCAACAAGGAAACAGCAGATTTAATCGACACTATTGTCCAAATGGATCTAACAGATATCTACAGAACTTCTCATCCTACACATAAAGCATTTACATTCTTCTCAGCAGTACATGGAACATTCTCTAGGATTGACCACATACTAGGCCATAAAGCAAGTCTCAGCAAATTCAAAAGAATTAGAATCATACCATGCAGCTTCCCAGAACATAAAGGAATGAAGTTGGAAATTAGCAACTCAGGAATCCCTAGAGCATATGCAAACACATGGAGATTGAACAACATGCTCCTGAATGAACAATGTGTCATAGAAGAAATTAAAAGAGAAATCAAAAATTTTCTGGAAGTAAATGAGGAGAACAGCACAACATACCAAAACTTATGGGATAAAGCAAAAGCAGTGTTAAGTTAAAAGTTTTTATCAATAGGTGCCTACATCAAGAAATTGGAGGGAGGAAGCAAGATGGCAGAATAGGAAGGGAGCACACTGATAGTCCAGGGAGAGATAGTTTAATAAAAGTGGAGATACTGCAAGTTCAAGGAAGAGTAGGGGAGGAAACAGCAGAAGAAACTCTTCCGGAACGCGTGATTCACAGTGGACCTGCGTGGAGAGCGTGGGAGCCCACAGTTCGGGACACCAGCGGCAGACTCAACACACCAGCGCTGGAACGTGAGGTGAGCCGAACCTCAATAGCCCAAGACACCGGCAGGCAAGCAGAGACAGGAGACTAGAGGGAACGACCCAGAGTGGTGAAAGTTCACCAGGCTAACTGGAAGAGAGAGAGAGAGAAAAAAAGTGACTGCTTTGGACACGGGTTTCTCTCTCTCCGCTCACCTCTCAAGGGGGAGCAAGACAAAGAGCAGGCACCATCTTGGACATACGTCATAAGCAGAGCAACCTCAGGTCTGCATCGGCCCTGAGCCTAGCAGAAAAACCTGACTCTGGGCGGGGTGAATTAACAGGAGATTAGGACCTAGTAAATTTGTGGTGCTACTGAACTGAGACTGTGAAAAAAGAGACGGTGGGGGAGAGAACACACGGAATTCACGTGAGCACTCTCCAGAGACACTACAATTCCGTAACTTTGGCAACCCAGTGGGAGACTGAAGGAGACTTTGAGCCCACTCTGAGGGCAGAACAGATTCCCTGTGTGGTCCTTGGGAAAGAGCTTCCGATCTCTGGCTCCTGCGGGTGTATCATTTGCCTGCTAACTACCTCCAACTTCGTTCAGCTGCACGGAATTACTTCCCTTTTGAATAAAAAAAAAAGAAAGAGAGAGAGAGAGATTTGCCACGCCTAACCTGGGAGTGTCACCTTTGGCACACCAAACAGAGCTCTCAGGCCACACCCATCTCAAGCCCTAAGGCTCCATCAAAAACAGATAGTCCACTTAATCTAAAGTCATAGTATAACAAGAAAAAGCACCACAGTGAAGAAACCAAATATCTCCAATATGACAAATAACAAACGCAAAAACCGAGGTAATAAAAAACAAGGAAGTCACCATGACACCCCCAAATGAAAAAGACACCCCAATTCAAGATTATGAAGATGATGAGATAGAAGAAATGCAAGAAGCAGATCTCAAAAAATTGATAAGAACATTAAGAAGTTCTCAAAAACAAATTCTTGAACTACAGAAATCCTTAATGGACAAGATAGAAAATCTCTCTCGTGAAAATGAAATATTAAGGAGGAATCAAAATGAAACGAAACAACTAGTACAACAGGAAACTGTGATAGTGACTGAAGTGAAGAATTCAATAGATTAAATGAAAAACACAATAGAGAGCCTTACAAACAGAATGGGTGAAGCAGAAGAGAGAATATCGGACTTAGAAGACAGAGAACAGGAAAGGATACAGTCAGACCAAAGAAAAGAAGAGGAAATTAGAAATCTAAAACATATTGTCAGGAATCTTCAGGATACTATTAAAAAAACCAACATTCGGGTTCTAGGAATTCCTGAAGGCATGGAGAGGAAGAAAGGATTAGAAGGCTTTTTTACTGAGATATTAGCAGCAAATTTCCCAGGTTGGGAGAAGGACAGAGACATCCTAGTACAGGAAGCTCATAGAACCCCCCAATAAACATGACCAAAAGAGATCCTCACCATGACACGTTGTAATTAAACTCTCCACAGTGAAACATAAAGAAAAGATCCTAAAATGTGCAAGAGAGAAACGTCAGATTACTCTCAGAGGATCTCCAATCAGACTCACAGCTGACTTCTCATCAGAAACTCTACAAGCTAGGAGGGAATGGCGAGATATAGCCCAGGTACTAAGAGAGAAAAACTGCCAGCCCAGAATATTATATCCTGCAAAGCTATCATTTGTGAATGAAGGTGAAATAAAGACTTTTCATAGCAAACAGAAATTGAAACAATTTGTCGCCACTCATCCAGCCCTGCAACAGATGCTTAAAGATGTGTTACACACAGAAACACGGTCATCAATATGAAAGAAGATAAAGGAAGGAAAGCTCACAGCAAAAGATCACAGGGAATTCAAAGCATATATTAGAACTTATCTTTGGCAAATGGCAGGGCAAAGTTACCACTTATCATTAGTCACATTGAACGTGAATGGCCTGAACTGTCCAGTTAAAAGACACCGATTGGCTGATTGGGTTAAGGAACAAAACCCATCTATTTGCTGCTTACAAGAAACACATCTTTCCAACAAAGATCCATACAGACTGAAAGTGAAAGGCTGGAAAAAGATATACCATGCTAACAGAAATGAAAAAAGAGCAGGCATAGCCATCTTAATATCGGACAACATAAACTTTACCACAAAAACTATTAAGAGAGACAAAGAGGGGCACTATATAATGCTTAAGGGATCAATACAACAAGAAGATATAACAATTATCAATGTATATGCACCTAATTAAAGGGCACCGGTTTATTTAAAAGATTTGTTAAGGGACTTAAAGGGAGACTTAGACCCCAATACAATAGTACTGGGGGACTTCAATACTCCACTCTCAGAAATAGACAGATCAATAGGTCAGAAGATCAACAAGGATACAGTAGATTTAAACGACACTATAGACCAAATGGATCTAACAGATATATACAGAACTTTCAATCCTACAGCTAAAGATTTTACATTCTTCTCAGCAGTACATGGAACCTTCTCTAGGATTGACCACATACTAGGCCATAAAACAAGTCTCAGCAAATTCAAAAGAATTAGAATTATACCATGCAGCGTCTCAGACCATAAAGGAATGAAGTTGGAAATTAGCAACTCAGGAATCCCTAGAGCATATGCAAACACAGGGAGATTGAACAACATGCTCCTGAATGAACAATGTGTCATAGAAGAAATTAAAAGAGAAATCAAAAATTTTCTGGAAGTAAATGAGGATAACAGCACAACATACCAAAACTTATGGGACACAGCAAAAGCAGTGTTAAGAGGAAAGTTTATATCAATAGGTGCCTACATCAAAAAATTGGAAAGGCACCAAATAGATGAGCTTTCAAATCACATCAAGGATCTAGAAAACCTACAGCAAACCAGACCCAAATCTAGTAGGAGAAGAGAAATAATTAAAATCAGAGAAGAAATCAACAGGATTGAATCAAGAAAAACATTACAAAAAATCAGCGAAACGAGGAGCTGGTTTTTTGAAAAAATAAACAAAATTGACACACCATTGGCCCAACTAACTAAAAAAAGAAGAGAAAAGACCCAAATCAATAAAATCAGAGATGAAAAAGGAAATGTAACAACAGACACCACAGAAATAAAAAGAATCATCAGAAATTACTACAAGGACTTGTATGCCAGCAAACAGGGAAACCTATCAGAAATGGATAGATTCCTGGACACATGCAACCTACCTAAATTGAACCAGGAAGACATCGAAAACCTAAACAGACCCATAACTGAGACAGAAATTGAAACAGTAATAAAAGCCCTCCCAACAAAGAAAAGCCCAGGACCAGATGGATTCACTGCTGAATTCTACCAGACATTTAAAGAAGAACTAACTCCAATTCTTCTCAAACTATTCAGAACAATCGAAGAAGAGGGAGTCCTCCCAAATTCTTTCTATGAAGCCAGCATCACCTTAATTCCTAAGCCAGAAAAAGATGCAGCACTGAAAGAGAATATAGACCAATATCCCTGATGAACATAGACGCAAAAATCCTCAATAAAATTCTCACCAATAGAATGCAACAACACATCAGAAAGATCATCCACCCAACCAAGTGGGATTTATCCCTGGTATGCAGGGATGGTTTAATGTGCGCAAGACAGTCAATGTGATACACCACATTAACAGACTGCAGAAGAAAAACCATATGATTATCTCAATAGATGCCGAGAAAGCATTTGATAAAATACAACACCCGTTCGTGATGAAAACTCTAAGCAAACTGGGTTTGGAAGGAACATTCCTCAATACAATCAAAGCAATCTATGAAGAACCCACAGCCAACATCCTATTGAATGGGGAAAAGTTGGAAGCATTTCCACTGAGATCTGGAACCGGACAGGGATGCCCACTCTCACCACTGCTATTCAATATAGTTCAGGAAGTTTTAGCCAAAGCTATTAGGCAAGAAAAAGAAACTAAAGTGATACAAATTGGGAAGGAAGAACTCAAACTCTCCCTCTTTGCACACAATATGATTCTTTATTTAGGGGACCCAAAGAACTCTACTAAGAGACTATTGGAACTCATAGAAGAATTTGGCAAAGTAGCAGGATATAAAATCAATGCACAAAAATCAACAGCCTTTGTATACACAAGCAGTGCCATGGCTGAGGAAGAGCTTCTAACATCAATCCCATTCACAATAGCTACAAAAACAATCAAATACCTTGGAATAAACTTAACCAAGGACGTTAAAGATCTCTACGATGAAAATTACAAAACCTTAAAGAAAGAAATAGAAGAGGATACCAAGAAATGGAAAAATCTTCCATGCTCATGGATTGGAAGAATCAACATCATCAAAATGTCCATTCTCCCAAAAGCAATTTATAGATTCAGTGTGATAGCCATCAAGATACTGAAGACCTTCTTCTCAGATCTGGAAAAAATGGTGCTGAAATTTATATGGAGGCACAAGAGACCTCGAATAGCTAAAGCAATCTTGTATAACAAAAACAAAGCCAGAGGCATCACAATACCAGATTTCAGGACATACTACAGGGCAGTTGTAATCAAAAGAGCATGGTACTGGTACAGAAACAGATGGATAGACCAATGGAACAGAATTGAAACACCAGAAATCAATCCAAACATCTACAGCCAACTCATATTTGATCAAGGATCCAAAACCAATCCCTGGACTAAGGACATTCTATTCAATAAATGGTGCTGGGAAAACTGGATTTCCACGTGCAGAATCATGAAGCAAGAACCCCTACCTTTCACCTAACACAAACAGTCACTAAACATGGATTAAAGACTTTAATCTACCACATGACACCATCAAATTATTAGAGAAAATTGGAGGAAGCCTACAAGATATACGTACTGGCAAAGATTTCTTGGAAAATACCCCAGAAGCACAGGCAGTCAAAGCCAA